TCTCTCTCTCTCTCTCTCGCTGTCTTGGTTTGCCTTTGAAGTGATTGATAATTTCCACTCTCTAAACTCTCTTCCTTCACCGGTTGATGGACAGATGGAGAGACTTCTGTTATGGTCTTCTCGGCTGAGTGAGGTGAAAAGTGCCACCTCAAGACTTTTGCTGTAAGTTCTTATATATTATATTTGCAGGATGTTATTCATAAATGTTGTATTGTTTAAGGAATACGTTTGATCTAAATGTATGCTTGATTATCGGCTACTACTGTGCGCAAAGTATTGTAAAGAGATTATTTTATATATATATAACAAAACAGTTGCAATGCCAAGATCCAAACTCTCAAATTGTACATTAATTGCTTTTAATATATATCATTCCCTCTCCACTCCTCCCCCGTTTAGTTCACACATGTTATTTATTATCCCAAGTGCTCTTGTTATTTATGTTACAATTGTTTTACCATGCTCAAACTGTAACTATTTCCTAACGTTTTCAGAGGCTGTGTCGTCCATGAATTGGCCCGTCTGAAAGGAACGTTACCCACGACCCCTCTTCATTGCACAGATCGGAATCAGATAGATGTATTAAGTCACTGTCAACAGATCTATTGTTGTTGTTTTTTCTGAAATATAATATTGTTTGGTGTTGATTTTTTGGTCTAATTAAAAGTAAAAGAAGTCTAAGTATCAATTGGTTTTACTTTATTTTTTAAAACCTAATATTCGATATTTCACCTATCAAAATGCATTTCTTCTCTTCTCTTTTTTCCTGTGCGTTATTGTACTATTTATATCAAAATTTAAAAATAGATAAAACTGCAATTGCTGAGTTTTCGTAGACGGGCCGTTTATGTAAAAAATGTTCTTTCCATAAGCTGACGGTATAGGTTGACGCATATTACAAGGACACACGCTTTTCTTTCTACAAAGGGAGCAGTCTATATATTTTGTCTTTCTGAAATAGATGGGAATACCCTCGTTTCATTCAAAAGTTTGAATCAGTTCCCATCCGTGTAGGAATGTGTGTATGTTACATTTTACCTATTTTTACTGGGATATTATATCTTTTACAGTGTATGGAATTACCCTGAGAGGAAGGTTGGCCATCTAAATGATTTAAATCAATGTAGGCTTAAAACAAATATTACAATATGTCTTGTTGTGTTATATATACATGATATGGTTCTACATGATGTTATTCAAATGAGTGGAGAAAACATGGGCTTGTCAGAAATGTGTGGACTGGGCATGAGCTACACAGCTCAGTGCCCTCACATTCTGGGCTCACCCAGATGGTCTTGTCAGAGACATGCGATCAGAGCTCAGGGTCAGAATCAAGCATCCCACCAGATGTTAAGCAGTTTCCCACATACGTTCAAGAACTCATTGTACCATACACAACATCACGTGAACTAAGATCCAGTGGCTCTAGACTAATTTCAACACCTCGTGTGTCACTGAAGAAATATGGGGAGAGAGCTTTTTCTTTTTCTGGGCCAACAGTTTAGAACACTCTCTCATGATTTGAGGAGCGAAATAAAACTTGATACTTTCAAAAGAGAACTCAAAACACATCTATTTAAGAAATATTTTAATTAATGGACAGTACCTTTGCCTTTTTGTATGAGCATTTTTTATTGTCTGAAAGAATGTTGCTGTCAAAAAGTGCGCACATGATGAATTTGTATGGTGTTAGTATGAATGCATTTTTAATCTCCTTTGTACGCCTTGGGCCCATGCTGTGGGGAAAGGCGGGATACAAATAATGCTCTTATTATTACTATGTTTCTGTTTGGTACGGCTGTGTACCAAGCAGTACCCACATATTGTGGGGCGGACATGGGAACCACATTGGCTCGTCAGGAACATGTGGACTGGAGATAGGGTGGCGGCCGAAGCCTGCTCTTATCGATTTTAGACCAGCAAAGGATCTTTAACGACATCATGCAGATGCGAACGCCGTAAAACACTTACCAAAAAACAAACAAGCAAATAAACAAAACAACAACAACAACAACAAAACTCCAACAAATCAAAACACTTTGCACTTTTCAGAAATAAAATTGATGTAGAGCTAGTCTTTTCTTTTTAAATTGAAGTTCCATGAATTGTATTTGTATGGAGACCAAATGAGCCCAATGTTCCTGCATTTATGTAGTACCAAAAAAAAAGTTCAAAAAGTTATTAAGATTTATATTGTTATTGTTATTATCGATCCAGCGATTAAGATTTATAAATATTAAGACATGGGAACTGAAGACCAACCACTTCAACTGGGTGGCTTTAAATTGTCACGTTTCGTCTTAGGGGTGAAATGGGGCGATCATTTTCAACGTTTGACTCACTTTAAAATTAGAACTAGACCAATTGTGTTTGAGAGGCCATGATGATGTGGCTGATAAGTCAGGTAAGCGAAAAGCTTACATACAGAAGTGACGCAAAGGAAGTTGTTAGGCACGCGTACGCCCACCTGACACTGAATTGTTCGGAGCACGTATTTGTCAAAGTCAAGGTCGTTTTCCGATTACTCTTTCTTCGGCATGTTTGGGGAAGCTGGACAAAGAGCTGTCCCCGCGGTTTTATGCAAAACAATTCTGAAATTATGCAAACTGAGCCGAAAAACCACCAACAAAGAATGATCAAGGAAAATAAGCAGAAAGTATGCAAAAAATGATCAAATTTTGCAAAAAATTATGCAGAGTGCATAAAACCCCGGGGACAGGCAAAGAGGTTGAGACTCTCGTGGAATCATGGATGATAGATTGAGATCCAGACCGCCTCTAGATACTGGGCACGTTTGTACTTCTCGAAATGAGTGAAGTAAGCGAAGCTATTGAAGACCATGGTACACAGAATTTCCGCAGTTTCGTCAAAGGAGACTCCCGAAAGTAGGTCTAGATCAGGGGCGGCTCGTGGGGCTAAAAAGTGGACGTGCACAATTAAGCTATCGCGTGCTGAAGATAGTCAAGGGCATAGTAAATGAGACGGTGTATAATTTTAGGAACTTTGGGTTGGTGAGGGAGGACCTTGTGCTTTTATTTTCATTCTTTTAACTTGTTGCTTTAATTTCTAGTACTAAATTTGTTAGTTAGCTAAACATCAATTTCGTTCATCCTGTAGTGGAACTGAACACTCAAGTAATAACTTTCACTACTCCACTACAAAACCATTAAAAGGCACAACTCATAGGACGGTCACGTTCACCTCCCTCAAGTTCACGGTCAAAGAGTCACTTAAAATAGTGGCAAGAGAGACAATGAACCAATCACAATTCACTTGAGCAATCCGCTGGATTGCTCCAGGGCTCACATAATATTGGCAAAGAATAGCGTACGGTCTATCGCGTTTATTTTTAGATTGCCTACTGTGGGCTATGTTTCGGCCCTATTCGGCAGGAGCACATTCAAGATGTGCCGTCTTATTAATATTAATGTACCGCCAAACTCGCTACGAGTGTCGTCATCGCTTGGGTTATCCACAAGAGCGATTTATAGGTCAGGTTACACTGTTGAATATCCTATTATGTTTAGCTAAAGCGCGTGGACTTTGGCATGGCATAATAGATGTTCTACGGCGCCATAAACACAGACATGACAGTTATGGCGCCAGTGAGGACCTTGTTTACATGACAGTTATGGCGCCAGTGAGGACCTTGTTTTGATATATTATTTTGCTAGTGTTTGTTTCCGGCTTCTTTTATTTTAATATTGTGGGTGTTTTACGTAATAGAACATTAAACAATTTTGGGCGGCACTGCACGACCGTGCTCTATGGACGAACCGCGCCTGGTCTAGATCTGTTCTTACTCTTAGTTAGCCTTGTGACTTTGGAAATATGTGCCCCGAACAATCTAGTGTTAGACAGGCTTACACGTGCCTAACAACAGCCTACACAAAATTGCTTTTTCAAACTAACAGACGAGCTAGGACTACTTTTCCTCTCGAGAAACAAAAGACAGCCCCCAAAAACAGCGACAGCCGCACCATCTAACAATTTGCGTTGACTGGACACTTTAAAAAAAAGAAGCTGAGTGAACCATATTTTAGGATAGGTGAGGCAGCGTGGTCAAATCAAACGCTGGTCAATTTAATGAAAGTCAAGAAAATGGCATTTTCCCCGCAGGTTTTGGAATTTTCATCGAATTTTTGTTTTATGGCTCAACACCTTTCGTGCCCATTATAGAACACATTTCTTTGCGGATTTTTACCGAAAAACGTTGATTAAAGGCATAAAGATGAAAATTTTCTGTTTTCTCAGAATCTCAAGAAAAGGAAATAACTCAACTTCGGAGGCCATTTTCTCGCTTAATTTACCTCTGAAATTAACCAGGCATACCCCACCTCATGCAATCGCCTATGACTTGTATGCAGTATAAATAGATTTTCATCAAAATCAAGGCAAATGGACAGGATTAAAGACGATACCAATAACTCCATATGCCCTGAAATTGACGAACGCACGATTCCACCGCTTCGTGACACATACGATCTTTGCTACCAGTGTAATAAAATACGAGTACAAAGTATAGGAATCGATATAAGTAGACCTTTGATCGAGTCTACATTTCTAAGTAAAACACTGAGCTTTCACTTTTAAATAGCGTGACCGAGTTCTGGCGTCATCCGCTCCCAACCATACGTGCTCGTGGCTGGGACACGGACATCATTTCTCGTACACTCACAAGGGACGAGGGTAAATTGTAAGAGTAAGAATTACATAACGACTCTTTCAACTCTCAGGTTATTTAAAAGGCGGGCCATACGAATTTGGCTGGTAGCCCATTGTCCACACCCCCACCCCCCACCCCCAGAAACAACTCGACTTTGGACGGGAGGAGGAAGATTCGGTTTTTTAGAATTTACTTGTTTAGTTAGTTTTTGGTAAGTGTTTTACGGCGCTAGCAACTGCATAAGGTCACATAGTACGCGGGGCTCACCAAACATGTTCAATTGGTAGGAAATTTAGAATTTTGTCCGGGTGGCGAAGGGTTGCCAGGATTTTAGACCACCAAGGGATCTTTAACGTGCGCTACGTGCACACGGGACCTCTGACATTTTTCGCCCTTGCATGAGAAGGCTAGGTGTAGATCTTTCCTACCAGAAGATCAGGGGTGTGGCTGAAAGACAGCAGTAACAAGGAGCCAAGGAGTAGCAGTAGAAAGACTGCAGAAAGAGTCAGGAGCCCAGAGGAGGGGGCAAAGGAGGTGAGGGGAAGGCAGAAAGTGGAAACGAAAGCAGACGACAGAACATTGCCAGAGAGCAGGAACGGAGGTGAAGGGATACAACTTTAGAGAAGAAACATTTTCCGTCGCTACCCGGATTCAAACCCGTGATCTTTGAATGAGAGGCGAACACCTTAACCTCTAGGCTACGAGAGGCCGTATATATATATATACATACATACACACAAACACACACACACACACACACACACACACACACACACACACACATATATATATATATATATATATATATATATATATATATATATATATATATATATATATATATATATATATATATATATATATATATATATAAATATATATATATATATTATATATACACACACACACACACACACACACACACACACACACACACACACACACACACACAAACACACACATCAAGCAGTCGGCGATGAAACCAACCCCGCGTCACCACCTAGTGACGTAGCCCATCA